AATTCAAAGATTTGTAATGTGATGTAGTAACAAACATATTTTTGTGCTTTTACATTGCAAGCGCTGGCTATACCTTGGGAGATAGATCAAATTAATGTACAACGGAATTTTATACGTACCGTTACCTATTAAGAAAACATGTTTGAATTTTCTCATGAAAATCAGCTGTAAATATCGTTTATGTAGATATCCTGTAGTATAGACTAACCTTAATCATAATATTATTAATCACTCTACACTGCCCCACATTAGTATACAGTAGTATGTATTTCATTCGTGCGAAGCCGGGGTGCGTCGCTAGTATTATATATATTTCAGTTGGATCGATCAATTTATCTCCATAACAACATATTTTTATCAGTACAAATGCAGGTAAATATTTTTATGTTCTTTAGCTTATCAATGAAGACTATAAACTATATTGCATTTTTAAAGGTTATTTTGAAAGATACTATAATCATCCGAATTTTCGGCAACGCTGCGAAGCCTCAGAAACTCAAAACATTGACGTGAAGAATATCATAAAAGCAGCATCAGACGATTAGGCAACGGACGGTCCCAAAAAATAAATTCTTCAATGGATTTCAATTTTACGAGCTGTCAACGTTGTCGTATCGCCAATCCTGTCCGCTTTTTTTTTTAATTCAATTTACCAGCCCAGTTAATTTTATAATTATAACGTCTTGCCCCGTGTGGCCTACAGCAAGCATCTGGCGAATCAGTCTGGGGTTTAAAATATTTTTTACACGATTATGGGTTCATGCATAAGTTCTCAAGAGCTCACATGCAAATAACAGCTACAAAGTCTAAAAAAAACCGACATTATACAATTGAACAATAGCGTCATCTGTTATTTTAGAGTATAACTAATATAGAACCAATCTTACGCTGTAATACGATAACAGATGGCGCTATTAACATAATTAAAGTATTATCATATTTAAACTCAATTGACAATAAATACTGAAATGTAAAAGTTACAAGCGATACATTTTACAACAGCGATACAATGCTGAGTTCTTTTAAGGATTGTCATAAGACTACTTTTAAGATTTTCTAAAGGTTGGCAGTTTTGTAAAGAAGGGTAGGTTCGTTGTGAGAAATGGAAGTATTTATTATTCTTTCGACTTTCGTCTGGGGAATGAAATAACCGGAGCTCACTTTAATGTTGGTAACGCATCAGCAACCCATCAGGTGTTGTGGATGTCCTTGGGCGGCATCTCTTAACATTATGTGAACTGCGTAATAATCAACTTTTATCAGAAAAATTAATAAATATTGTAAACATTATGTTTAGCGGTTACAAAAATTATCTTCACTTATTAGAGAACAAACCAAGCATCGTCGGTCCCGAGACTATAAAAGCTGTAATGTATTCAAAACTTCCGGAGTTTTAAATAAATAATACAAACAACCTTAAACTAGTTGTTAAATTGTCTAATATTCGCAAAACTGTTAATTTTTTTACTTATATACACTGCTGAGTGGAAAAACGACTGATCGATTCTAAATTTTTTAACGAAAATTAAAACAAATTGCATAATTGTGAAAAGTTATTGCGATATTTATTTTACTGTAGATTTTAGCTAATAGTCCCTTTATTGTAAATAAACTTTACCTCCTTATAATAATATCATACACCGTCTGTGCCAATGCACAGACGTAAGATAAATACTGCTGTGGAATATGTACTGCGCATTCAACAATATATAAACAACCGCAAAAGCTGGTCTGGTGGGGGAGGGACCTCAATATCATCAAAATTGCTCTGTCATTTCAACTCAGCCGCGTTCCGATTCAGTATATAAAATATTTCAGCCAAATACCTGAAATAATTGTCCTTTAGGCATTCGTACAGACGCAAAAATATACCTAACCTAAATAAATTTTGCAAAATCTTTAGATAATAAGCAATATTAATTTAAAATCAAAAAATTGTGTGCGTAACCCTTACGCGCGATTGAACTAAAACTTCTTTGGCGTTGACGGCATATATCACTGAAATGATTAAATATTAACTTAAATAATAAATATCATATTATAATTTAATTATATTTATTATTCATGTGCTTTACAAAGATTATTCAAATGTTATATTAATATTAAATTATTCATTCGAAACAGGTACTTGAATGTCATCATACTTTCTTACGTATGAAATTATTATATTAAAATTATTATATTAAACAAACATCTGAGTTACTCCCTAGTCTCGCCTAAAGAAGTTTTACTTCAGTAATAAATTCAATAAACCTCGTTTACCTGTGGTAGGCCCACGCAACAGTCTTCGCTGTTGCACTAATGGGCAGGTCCGTCCGGGTAAGTACCGCGACCTCACATAAGACCGGCGTGAAGTGGAAGTTTCATTCTTTTGCGTTTCTTCTGGTGAGTGAAGTAGCCAGGGCCCTTATTTAAAAGGTGGCAAGGCATCTGCAACCGTAAGCGTGGTGCAAATGTCAATGGGCGGCGGATATCACTTAGCATCAGGTGAACCGCCAGCTCGTTTGCCACCGTCAAAGAATATTTTTTAAGATGTAAACGAAATGTTTAATGAAATTGCTTTACAGTTCAATATATGAAACAAACCTTAAAAATATGGTGATAAATGTTAATATCACCGGTGTTTATTCAAAGTAGGAATATTTAAAAAAGTTATAAATATAATGATGTTAGGCGTAATGTTGATGTATCCATAATTTTTCCCGCCAAAACTAACCCAAGAGTATGTGCCAAGAACGTGAGAATATTTATTTGTTCTACAATGATCCCACCTTACTAAAGATATTTATAAATGAACGCTTTACTGCGTTCATAAAATTTCGCTAAAAATTCTGATAAAGCATATTTTTCAAGAATAATTTTAACGAATTGTAAAATGATTTTACCTAAGCTAAATTTTCCTTTTAATTAACCAAAATGAATATTTTGGCGTAGTAGAGCGAGCACATTTGTTAAATTCTATCAACTAGATAATTATCATAAAAGTTACTTAAAAATTTAAAAATGATGTGAAGAATAAAATAAATATATAATACTTATTTTATACTCTTGCATATGTTTCGGTAGACAGTATAATTTGATTAAAAATAAAAAAAAACAATGATTACAGTTCTTTAATTTACTATATCACTTTTTATCCCACGAAAATATTCTTGATTGTGTCACCACTGTAGAACGGCTTACGTTGTAATAGCGCAAAAATCCAATTTAAATATAGTCTACATATAACAGAGCTGACAATGTCACGCCGCTTGTGTCAATACGATCTTTTTATCCACGATTGGATTAAAAATATTAATTTTAGCGCAAATTTGTGAGCCGGAGCCTTAAATATTTCCGTTAATCTTAGGTTATAAAAATTATCGGTACTTTTATAAAATGTGAAAGTTTTCAAAGTGATTTTGTGATAAAAATTAATAGGTATTTCGAATAACGCGACAATAATAAATTCATATTTAATCTGTACTAATTTTTTTTGACTATAAATAATACGTATTTGAGTAAAAGTTTGTGTTTATAGTTGATTTGAATTTTTTATAAGTTTTAAACGGAAACACAATGGCGGAAACGGAAACAACAGACGAAATCTATAACAAGGAGTACAAGAGAATCCGGCGGTTGACCAAGGATTTGGCAATACGACAGATTTCGGTAGGTTTTTATTTCCCTTGCTATGCTATTATTACCCTTCATTGTAAATAATGTTTCGGAATTACACTACTATAGACGCATATAATCATAGACAGTCGGAGACTTTTTTATGAACATGAATCTTCTTGTTAACTGTAGTAGCCTCTTAGAATAGATTTAGCTAGGATCCGAAGTAAAAGCGGCGGCAAATTAATAATATTAATATCCCGAAAGGTTATCGATCAACGGTAGCCACTTATCACGATAAGCATATCACATATCTGTTGGTGCAGGTGTAATATTTTGTTTTGCGTTTATCAAATGCATTACGGATAAGCGAGGGATGTATTTCGGAGAATTGGGTCACAATATTGTTACGATGCAATAATTAGAGTTTTGTGCGAAATTTCATACTAAACAAATAGGTAACCGTGGCCTAGTGGTAGTTTATTTGTGATTATATTTGTTTTGATAAAATAGCGGTCATGTTAAATAATTATCTTTGCAATTTAGAGAAAAATTGGAACTTCACGTTAAATAAAAATAAGTAGTTTAATATAAACATGTAACAGAATTCATAACGTTTGCTTTCATTTTTAAAAAAGGTAATATAAACGTCTTTAGCCTTATTACATACGTGTCGAACACTGCAGAATTATTTTTCGTAAATATTTACTTACAAGAATCACGGTATTCAAAGATGTTATAATTTATATAGTGCAGTCTCGTTTCGCTAGCATTAGTAGCATAGCATAGTAATTTTAATGAACACATTTTCCATAAAGCCTCCGAAGCGTCGCTTAATATAAAAATTTAATTTAACATTAAATGAAATCCTTTAAATTGTTTCTTTTATTAATTTTTACTTTTTAGACATGTATGGCGATTGTTTGGGTGGGTCACCTAGCAACTGCTGTCCAGTAAAGTAGTATGGGTTCAATCTCTACACAAAACAAGCATTTGTGATCTCCATAACCTGTTATTTCAGTCAGGGCATACTTTGACCGTACTTTTCATGTCTTTGGAACCTCTCACTAGAAAGGTTTTCTTTTTAGTGAGCGAGAAGTTTATTAAAATAAACCAAAAATAAATATTAAAATAAGTTATACTTCTTTATGTAGTTTAGTAATTAATTTAGTAATCAGTGTATTTACTTAGTGAGTTTTTAGTTTTTAATTAATATATTTATTATAGAGAAATATCAAAATGCAATGATAGATAACTAAAACAAGTGCAACTTCGTCAACAAATGTATTTTCAGTTTTGCAAACTTGATTTTATTTTATTTGTAATTACTTATTAAATATTTAATAAATAAAAAAAATGTACAATATAATTTAAAGTTAACAAAATCTGTCTTATAATTTCAGTCCGAATATGGCCTAACGGAGGAGCAGGTTGCGGGTAAGTGAATCTTTTATTAAAATGTTATAGAATATTTTAATAACAGGTGTTGCTGCTGTGTTCTTAATTCTCCACTGTATAATAAAAGTACAAAGAATGTATAAAAATTTCAAACTGTAAAAATAATTGCGTTGTAGTAATTAAAGTTGAAAAAGTCCAATAGCTTATTCTATAATAGCAACACTATCCGTCTCTTCTAAAAAATAATTCATCCACGGCACATACGAGCTTCTCCATTTTTGTAATGAGTTGCAATATTGTTTTAGATTGAAGAAATCACGTTTATATTATGATGTAAATAAAAATATCAATATTAGTTAACTCAAGAACGCGTCCCTTAATTTGACAATAGAAATGAACGTAGCCTAGTTAGAAGGATAGATCCTTCTTTTCCGATTACCGACATTTACCTGTGTTAAAAATAGGGTAGTAGAATTAATACTGTATATATAAAGTCAAGTTGACATTCTACATAAAGTTTAAAAAAACAAAAATATTCCCTACAATGAGTAATATAATAATGTATGTTAATGTATACGCAAGTATAATTAGTAATATAACATTGTATACGCATGCAAAGCTTACAATGAATGTTATGAGTTTGCATTACATATACAATAATTAGTCATCTTTTAAGTCTGTATATGGTCAGGAACAAAATTTACAGCGTTTTTTGTAAAGCTTTTGTGTTCATTGTTATTATATGTTTTATTTGCTTTATTATAAATAAATATCATATTTCGATGGGCTTCCCTTGTTCCTACCATCATTTTATCTCATACGATTATGCTCTCAGTATGAAAATTTCTAGAAAAATATATATGTGTAACTAAGGGCAAACAAGTCTATATATAAATATGCTTTTTGTTGCTATGAGTACTAGATAACTGATAATTTTCTTTTGTACTGCGTTGTTTGTTGTCTTATGTTCTTTATTAAAATTGATAATAATTACTAAGTTTAGTTGTCTCAGTAAAGGATAGTCTATTTAAAATGCATTTTGCATTTGGAATAACAGCAACACTTTAGGAAGTAGTACCTCATTGCGTGCATTTCCCCTAAAAAATTATGGCGAGATAAAAAGATATAAAACTAAAAGCAGTGTAAAATTATTCAAAACATTTGTAACTCGAATCTACCGGGAATGGGGATATTTTCAGTGTATTCTTAAATAATCTTGACTACACATACGTGAATATTTGCATAATAGCAGAGTCGGGCATGCAGTAGAATCTGATGAACGAATGAGCCGACTCGACCGCAATGCTCGACGTTGGTTTGGTTCGTTTCACTAGTACTGAAGATTATAGTGGAGTAGAAGTGTGATATGGTAATACAATAACAATGTTTCGTGTGGTGAGTGAGGTTACCCGATACCTAACCTCATAACCAGCAACGCACCTGCAAATCACTAAATTAGAATAGTACTAATCAAGTTAAGAGATATGTCAGAAGGCGCGAATTTTTTTAAAAGACCTGACAACTACATATAAAAAACATACGAACTAGCTTTAGAGATATAATAGAACGCTTGATATTGACTGACAGATATTCTCCAAGATATTCAGATACACATCGATCCTCTTAGAGATGTAACAACAAATCAAGTGATAGTCTTAAAGCCATTATTGTTGTATATAAATAATCTAGTTCTTTTATATAGTTTTATCTAGTGATAAAAGAAAATTTAAACAAAATTTTCTGACTTAACGCCTAAAATATTAACCATCCACGATATTTATACTTTAAATGTTTAAAAAATAAAAATAAAAGTTATAAAATCTTCAGAGATTTTCTATTCTCATTTATACTCAGGTAAATAAATCTAAAGTTCTTTAACCGTTAAAAGTGTTCGTGTTTTAAATCCGCTCACGTGTGAAATTATCTGATCGCGTGAAAAAAAAAAAAAAAACTATTTCATATCAACTCAACAATGGGCTGGGGATTATGATATTAAGATATATTCTGAATTGTTTTTACTAATGTCTTGTTTTGGGAAGTGTAGTTTGCTGTTAGCCCGGCAGCTTTGTATGTTGCATCGGAAGATATTATTAATGTCGATAATTTTACCTAGGTTGGCATATTCTTTTTAGAATTCAAAGAAGCCTTCATGCTGTTCGACAAGGATGAGGACGGCACTATAACGATGGCTGAACTGGGTGTCGTGATGCGGTCGCTTGGTCAGAGACCTTCAGGTAAGCGTAAACCCTTTAAGTTCAAAGTTAACTACCCGTCTACAGCAGGCCATGAAGTTAGGAAATGGGACACAATCAGGCAAATTTAGCTAGAATTGCGTTGAATTGGCCATCTGCATTGGTGGGAGTAAAACGACAGCAATTTAAAAACATAAATGTGTGTAAAGGAAAACATCGGAGATATCTTTAATAATAAGAATTGAGTTCAATTCAGACTTAAAATGTTAGCAGAACAGAAAATTTACTACGTATCCTATACATCCGTAGGTCCTTACATAATTATACTCGGAATTCTTGCTGTACGGGAGGTAATCAAGGAAATTCAAATACTTTGTGCTAATTAACGAAAATTATTATTTCGTTGGATATACCTAATTTTAAAGTTTTAAAGTTAGATAATGCTCAAATTACTAGATTGAGATATGATATCTGGTTCTTAATGCTAGTCGTTGCACTTAATGAACCTGAAAATTGTGTAAGTAGATAAAATAGTCGCAATTTTTTTCTCGTGTCTGCCGATAGTGTCATATCGTTATCATTGAAATGTTGCCTAAGCTATATCTTCATCCTTATTGACTGCAAAATGTGAGCACTCTTGTTAATGAAATGGCACTGACATCGTCCCAAAAACTGCTTCATTAATCGGGTAGTATTGGTTCTAATGAAATGATTTGACTTACTGATACTGTTGTATCTCGCACGAGAGTTGCTTGCAATGAAGGCAAGAGGTTTGTTTACAATTACTTCGACATTGTCAACAACTTTCACACTAGTATGTAGAATAAGGACGAATAATAACTGAAACCCGTTCGTGTCATGAGAGTTATTTCTCGAAATTCGCGTACATGATGTCACCCCGAATCGCATAAAACCTTTTTCGTTTGTCCGCTTGGTGAAAACAACCGATTTCGAAGTATCGGGAAGATTGATAGCACCCAAGGAACGGGCAATACCAATAATTTGACGTAAGTGCCAGGACCCATGCCAAGTGCCCGCCGAACTACAAAGGAATGGCTATAAATAACCGAGACAATAAACCGGCCGTCCATTTGCGTTTGTTCCAAGATATTTTTACGCGGGAGATCTTATCGCGCGTTACTTGTTAGCGCAATGACACAATCAAAACCGTGTATCGGTTGCGGGCCTTGTTGTTCCTCGGATAGCGTTTTACGATTTCAGTGAAATCAATTAAGGAGAGGATTGGATTGAGCATCATTTTGTCTTCAAGAAAATCGATTTATTAATAAAAAGAAAAAGAGAAAAGTCGTTCCTTCTGTCTATTTTAATTTAATTAAAATGATAATTGTGTCTATCTATATGTAATGTCCAATACAAACACAAAAATATAAGAGCAATTTTGGCCTCTAAGGTCTCAAAAATCTGTAACACCTCTCTGTGTCACTAGTTTTTTACACCTCCGCCTAATAATTTATTTTGTACAAAAATTGTCTATTATTGTATCAATTTTTGTTCGTAACTTAAACGTAATTAAACGCCTTTGTAACGATATTTTGTTATCTAAGTTTATCTTACGCCTTCGAGTAATTGTTGTTTATTGTAGACGTACCTTTTTTGGAATAATTGTATGGCATACGCGACTTCATTGGTATTCAAATACGTCCTATTAAAAACACCGCTAATGGCAAATACCGTGGGTAGATGACAAACAATGTACTACATGACAGTATAACCGACTTAGTGGTTAAAAAGTCTTCTTCTGATACAGACATTTTCACTTCTTTGTGAACTGTTCTTTGTGAACAGTCTAAAAATGTTTTTATTTTTTATTCAACAACATCAGATTAAACAAGATCATTAAGAGCAGTATATGAATCTCGTTGTTGTACTACAAACTAAGGCAGTTTTCGATATCAAAATTCTTATTGAAAGCCCTTTTCCTTTAACTAATTTTCAAAATCGAATGATAGCTATAAACGCTAGAATTAATTAAGTGTTAAACGCACCATGCAAAAATATTCTGAAGTATGTATCTTTATATCAAATCACTGATAGTAAAAGTGCCAGATAGTGGTGAATACTTTTTAAATGCTTGGTTTTTGCAGCAGAGGCAAAAAGAGCTAAGAAAAGCTGTTCAATTTTGACTTCTAATTCAGTCAGTCGCATTCTAATCGGACGGAGGCAAGCGAAGGCAATTCGTTCTAAATAAATTTTAAAAGTAGATATAGAATTTCAGTATTATAGTTACAATTAATTGTTAAATTTGGAACTGTTAGCGGAGACATACTCTGAGGTATACTCTGAAACTTGATATCCACGAGACTAAGATCAATAGAATTAAAATCTATGATTAATTTTACTTTACTACTCTATGTCCGCACTCAAGATGAAACTTAATAATGAATTTCTTGTTGATTTTTTTGTGGGTAGAATTTGTCGAAAATATAAAATAAATCTATTAAAACACGCTGTAAAGGGTTCGAAACGTTGGGTAGTAAAACCAAAATAAACGCGATAAATCCGTAAATATAGTTTCATTTAGTAGTTTTTACGGTGATAGGGCGACGCAGCAGCCTTGGCTGTTGCACGAATAGGCAGGCCCGTCCGGGTGAGTACCACGACCTCACAGAAGACCAGCGTAAAGTGGAAGTATGACAAATACTTTCGCATTTCGTCTGGTGAGTGAGGTAGCCGGAGCCCAATTTTCAAAAGGTTGTCAACGCCTGTGTAACCCTCGGGTGAGGCATATGTCCATGGGCGGCGGTGTTCACTTAACATCAGGTGAACCGTCTGCTCGTTTGATAATATGCAAGAAATTATTATTAAAACACGTTTAAGACTCAAAAGCTTCAAAAGCAGAGTCCATGGGCGGCGGTGATAACCAGCCGTTTTTTTGCTATAATATTTGCTCGCTAGCCGCCCGTCCTGTAAAAACCCAATCGTTTCAAATCTAATTTCGCCGTCAGATTTTTACTCGGCGCCGCAGACAATGTCAGCGAAACAGGACATTACAATGCCAGAAACCTTTCGGATTCTGAGAGCTTTTATTGTTTACTTATCTGTGTCCTCTTTGTTGTAATAAATCGCATCATAAGTAAAGATAACACAAGAGTTCTGCATTTCGACCGACTCAAGGTAAAACAGATGTGTAATGTGTCCTCGACCGTACAATTTAATACCAATCTCCGTTTCTTTCTTTTCGATACGTCTTTCTTAATTCTATACACATCACGCACTACTAGTTTTTTTTTCCGTTGCCTAACACATCAAGAACCATCCAATTCACAACGTACATCATAGCAGACCCGATTATGATGTACGTACTGTACCATACATGTACCTAAAACATATTCTTCGTACAAGCAGTGGAAGAGAAGTTTACGTAAAAAATAATTAACACATGGAAGCACCAGTTATTATTATTCGAACTTATTTAAATGCGTTAATTGTAATTTCAATATTCAAAAGTATTACACTAATATCATATTAGTGTAATTCTTTTGAAATATCATATATCATAACGTTACAATTTTTATTTGTTATAACATATTTTATTCACTATAATCATCTAATGACTACAATTTGGGAAAATCTGAGATTATTGAAACGTTTTATACGTTTCTCTTTTGTGAGATATGAATTTAAGGGTAAGGAAGATACCTTTTATTTCACAACTTTTTTTTTTAATTTACTAAATAGTCTAATTGAAATTACTTGAACTTGTTTTATTCCGTTAAATAATGTAACTTTTACGAGAACTTATGCAAAATTTAATTTAGTAGTTTTGGAGTGAAAGCGAGACGGACAGACAGAGTTACTTTCGCATCTCTGATATTAGTATGGATTATTTAGGGGAAGAAAATTTTACATTGGAAACTATTTAAATTGAAACGGATATTTTTAAATTGTTTAATAATTTTGATAACGCTTAGATTAATTTAAAAGTAATACTCACAGAATATAACACATGAAAAAGCGTTAAAATGAAGGTAGTATTTATAATAATTCTACTCAATGATTTAGAGAACTTAATATCAAACAAAAAAATGAAGGCACCGGCGAGATTCGAACTCACGATCTCCTGTTTACTAGACAGGCGCTTTAACCAACTAAGCCACGGCGCCGCCGCCACATCTCGTGAAATTAAGCTTTCATAAATATGCATTTGCAAATTGAACGAATTTTGAAGCAAAATTACGTAAGTTGTTTACTCCTCTACTCTGTATTATTAGCAACAGCTAATTGCGGATTCTATTTCAAGGAAGTGTCTTGTCGCAAAATTATTGTTCGCGTGGGTTGAAACAGCTCACCGCTCGATCGTGTGTCATGTTCGCTGTGTTCCCCGTTCAATATAGCATCGATCAAATATCACAAGGCGATTGTTAGAAAATCGTCTATTTGACATATTAAGAAATCTATGAAAGCTTTTTTATACGAAAAGGTGGCAAAAGAGCCGTCGGTTCATCTGATGGTAAGTGATAACCGCCGCCCATTGACAAACCTTTGGTGGCAGATGCGTTGATCCCTTTTAATAAAGTAGGCCCCCGGCTACCTGACTCTCCAAACGAAACGCAGAAATATAATACTCCCACTCCATGCCGGTCTTCTGTGAGATCGTGGTACTTCCCCGGACTTGCCCATTCCTGCAACAGCGAGAACTGTTGCCTGTCCGTCAACAGTAATATCAATACTTAGCGATATTTATAGTACAATTACAGCGAACAAATCTTTTTTACTCGATATGTTTATTTCGCTTTTAATTTAATTCAATTTTTTTTTTCAGAAACTGTTTAGCTCGAAGGAAATTGATTAAGTAATAATGCCCTTATTACTTAATCAATTTCCTTCGAGTCAAAGCAAAATTAATTTGGAATGCACAGTAATAGTAAAGGAACGTAAATAAGGTAGTCTTTATCTGATTATTAAATACTGTTCGAACAGTTAGATGAAATTTGACCATGAAATCATAGAATTAGTATAACTAAATTTTTTCTTCTTTTAAAGATTCTTTTATTAAATATTTTAGGCCATAATGCAATACCATGGTAAAGATTGGGGAAAAAATAAACGATACCAACCATAATAAATGTTTCAAAAAACTTAATTGATGTCACTAAAGCTTAAAAATTATTTATAGGTAACGAAAAAAAAATATATATAGCCGTGATAGCTCAGTGTCCGGGCGCTCGCCTTTAATTCAATATACTCGAGCAACCTGAGTTCGATCCCCGGTGCCGGCACCAATGAAGTTTTTAACTTTAAGTGCTGACTTATCACGTGCTCCGCGGTGAAGGAAAACATCGTGAGGAAACCTGTATATTTTCGAAATAATAACAAAAAAAAATATATTTCGAAGATATGTGAAGTCCGCCAACCCGCAGTGGGGCCGCGTGGTGGACTATGCCCTGATACCCTCTCTATAGAGGACGCCTTTGCCCAGCAGTGGGACATGTATAGGCTGTTACTTTACTTTACTTTTTTACGAAAAAAAATATTTTATCTGTATACCACCGTATACAGATAAAATATTTTTTGTTAATAAGAAAATTATCATTATATTATGCTTCGACAGCATTTCAATTAACGGATTATAACGGGCTTGGAGAACGTAATTGCATACTGAGCATACTCCGATCAGAATTTTCATTGAGAAGTTTCGAAAAAAACTCTTAGTTTAACAGTTCACAGTTCTAAGAGATTAGAATTTAATTTTTTTTAAATAATTTCAATGATTTATATCCCCACCATTTTGTCGTTTAGTTTGTGTGCCGCTAGATACAGTTGGTTATTCCGATTATTCAATTCTTTTTGACTGCTGGTTCGACTGGCTATGCCACGTAATAGGTTTTTGATACGACATATAGGGCTTAACTCAAACAGCATCTCTTAGGCAATATTTCCGCCGAGTGCTAACAATAATGTAAAGTTTGTCAAAGTAAAGGCACAAAGGATCCTTTGAATAGCCTTGTTAATATTAGTTTTGGTAATAATCTTAATAATTAGAGTCGAAGTAAATATAAACTAATCATTTATTTCGACCCTTTACATGGAAAATCACTGTCTTACTTTTTCCCAGATCTCCCAAGATAGGCTTAATACCAGTCACGTTTGTGAACCAATAAGCTGGGTCCAATTAGGGTCACCCTACCTTCTGTTACTCGATCATATAAGATCAATGACGTAAGATAACATGTTTTGTAAAAAGAATTTGTTCAATTTGAGCGTACATCTAAATTTGATTTAAAACAGAAGCCGTAGTATTAGGGATTCAAATCGATAAAGATTAAATGTCTTTGGAATGATTGTGATACAAAAACGAATCGAAAATATAATACAAAATAGTATAATGAACATGATAAAACACGAAGATACGAGTAATACAGTCGTCATGAAGCCACTGACAATTAATTTATATTTGTTTTCGTAATACTCGTCATTGGTGCTATAATAAATGTTGCACGGAAATTTGTAACTTAAAGTTAGCAGTAAATATTTGTAAAGCAACTACCGCAGCTTACCGCTGACGTTTCAATTTACGGACAGCGATGAATGCGTTTTCATGAATTTTTATTAGACCCCGAGGAGCGTTATAGTTTAATAATAACTGAGTAAGTTGTAACGTCACGAATGGTATACTGTGCAGAAATCAGATTGTATTTTGCTGTAGTAGGGCAATAACTGCTTTCGTCGCAATAACAATAGAAGCTGTTATCTTTACCGCTAATCAGCTAGCTCGACTGCGGCAGAACCAGAGCGTTATAAGAGATAGGCTTAAACTAAAAGTATTTCTACTTCTCATGGTTATTTTTTTATTTAGAGCGCTGTCTGCACTCAAGATGAACAGCAGCCGAGTTCGATCCCCGATATCGGCACCAATGAAATTGTTAATTTTAAGTGCTAACATCACGTGCTCAGTGGTGAAAGAAAACATCGTGAGGAAACCTGCATATTTTCGAAATAATAACAAAAAAAATATATTTCGAAAATAATATGTGAAGTCCGCTAATCGGCAGTGGGTCCGCGTGGTGGACCTTTTGTACAGAAGAGACATATTGGGATATAACAGGCTGTTAACTTTATTATGATTCAAGCCTGCAACTCTAGAGTTACATGGCCAGATGTTCTAACTGGGTTAATTGTCCGATATCCTCACGGTACGACAATCTCACCTTGTATCTTCTTTTGCATTTTAGTGCTTTTTTCATATGGAATTGAGACTACCGGCTGTATCAGGAAACTAAAAGTCACTCAGCGGGCTATAAAATGGGCTATGCTCGGTATTTCTTTAATAGATTTCGCAATGAATCATAGCAGATGATAGAATGATTCATAGCAGAGCAAAAGTAACGACATAGATGAAAGGCTTAGTAATAATAATAATAAGCCTTGTTGTTCTGAACTCATAAGTATGAATGAAATATTTTGTTCTTTTTATAATATGTCCCGAAGCTCAGTTTGCCTCTTGGCATAGGCCTCCTCTAACAATTTCCATTGGGATCTGTCACTTGCTACTCTTCTCCAGTGAAGTCCAGCCGTGAGTTTCAGATCATCTTCCCATCTTGTTTTCTGGCGTCCTCTGCTTCTCCTGCCGTCTCTGGGATACCAGTTTGTAACAATTTTACACCATTTCTCTTGGGAGTCGCGTAACATATGACCTGTCCATCTCCACTTTTGTTGGTCTATCTGGGTTAATATATCAATAACTTTGGTTTTGGCTCTTATTATGCTACATCTCACTTGAAAGGCTTAGTAAGCTCAAGTGCAAATAAGCCGGCCATGTAGCTCGAAGAACCGGTAACCGATGTTACCAGTTCTTCGAGTTACGGAACCAATTTTGAGCGATAGCCTCTATACAGCCTCCTCACTAGATGGAGTGACGACCTGTGTGAGTGTGCGCGAAGGTTCACGATCGTGCTTCGAGGCGGTTTGGACCCAAACAGGCTGAAATGATGATGATGATAACTGCATTGGTGAGGTAACTGGAGTCCTGTTATTGAAAAATCGATTGAAAAATCGTTCATAACATTCGTGATGTTGTAGCTCCACATAATGTGGCCTTCATACACCAACAATTGAACAAATTGCTCAGGTAAACTCTTTGAATATAAAACAAACTTATTATATATATATATATATGCAAATTTGAACTAACATAATTATACGCAGCTTTCGAGAGAATAATGAATTTTAGCTGTAGTGTGAATTTATCACGGAAGTTTTAAATTCAATGCTAAAGTACCGCGACTGCAAATAAACATAGTTGCGGTGCTGGGAAATACGAGTATCTCGACAATCCTAACCGCCGATGCTCGTGAGTGTGACCTTTGCTATTTATTATCCCCTGGTACTATTCAACACCGCTACTAATGCCACATGCTTTTTCAATGTTTCTTTGCTGTAAAGTGTTCGAGACATTGGTAGTTTAATACAAAAAAAATATAAAATAAAAATATGTTTCTCTGCGGTAGGACCACACAACAGTTTTCAGTGTTGCACGCAATAGGCAGGTCCGTCCAGGTAAGTACCACGACGTTACAGAAGACCGGCGTAAAGTGTTACACTTCTGCGTTTTGTCTGGTGAGTGAGGTAACCGGAGCCCACTTTATTTGAAGGTGGCAACGCACTTGCAACCCTACGGTGTAGGTTATGACTTAACAACAGGGGAACCGCTAGCTAGTTTGCCACTTTTTACATAACCACGATGGACTCCTTAAAATAGTTTTAATATAAAAATAAATATAACAGAGGGTCATAGCGAAATGGGTTAGAAGACCAGGACGGCATATTTGTAATTTATTATTGCGATTCGAATCCCAGCGGCGAGAATATTTTTTAATTTTTATTACTTAATGACCGGGCGCTGAAGTTGCTACGGGCTAGGCTTCAGCGTCAGGGGTCGTGGGTTTAGTTCTCACATGGGACGAATATCTGTGACTCACAGATAATTGTTCTGGATCTGGGCGTTTGTTCCCAAGGAGGGTTGACATCAGGCTCGGTTGTAAAAACCTAGCTAGAAACATCAAAATTCACGTATTGTGACGACCCCAGCTAGGTGGGATAAAGGTAGGAGAAAGGAGAAGATTGGTTTCTTTGTTTGAGTTTACCAAGTATGGTATACCACTTGTATTCGTTCCAAATGTGGGAACTGTCAAACCACCTTTATATTCTTTTATATTCGAGACTAAATATAATAGATGAAACGTATTATGATATTTTTCTATCACTGCCACCTATTTTTTTTATCACCCGTGATGATCACGGTCGCTTTAGTTACCGATTTTAATTCGCAAGGCGGCATATTAAGTGCCAGTCGCCCGGAATAACCCCGCGTATTAATCATCTGTTTTTGGCCACGTCCGATGTATCTAAACGTTTGCGAAATTAGGGAAGGCAATTAAACCTTGACAAAATCGTAACTCCGCTATCCCGTTTTTGTTTGCGGAAGGCCCTCGAGTTGAATGGCTCATATCCATCTGACCAATTTATTACAATCCTCCATATTGTGTACCTCGTTTTTGCTCGATTTGAGTATCAAATTTACGTTTAAATAACTGTATCCTGATTAATAATACCATACATTACATACTATACATAGATTTACCACGGGACATTTTAGGTCGGGGAAGTACCACGACCTCGTAAACACCAGACCATTGGTGGAACAGAGAAAACTATGGCGTGATCGTACCAAATCAAAAAATAATACGAACGGTACACCATAACTTGCAGAGACTGAGCTACGTGACATGGTGAAAGAAGTGGATCAGGATGGCAACGGCACTATAGAATTCAACGAGTTTCTGCAGATGATGTCCAAGAAGATGCGCGGGTCGGACGGCGAGGACGAGCTTCGAGAAGCCTTCAGGTAACTCTTTTAAATAGGTTTCTAGTAATGTTTTACATCGTTTTTCAATGTTCAACAGGTATTCAAACTCGAAGTTGAAAAATATTGTTTCACTTTGGTTTTCTTTTGTATTAGGACCACGCAACAGTTCGCTGTTGCACGAATGGGCAGGTCCGACTGGGTAAGTACGACGGCTTCACAAAAGACCAGCGTGAAGTGGACATTATACTTCTGCGTTTCATTTGGTGAGTGAGGTAGTCGGGGCAAAGAAGGTGGCTGGATAGGTGACACGGTATTCTCACCTATCGTGCGACTCAGGTCCTCTCGGGACACGGGTGTTTCGGGAGGTATCTGTTTCGCGTGTCACACCACTGTGATGTATCGTCGATGCAAGCCGTGGTTCGCGCTATGGTTAACAGTGAGAGGGCGTGGGGTGTGTCGTCCCGCAGCCTTTGCAGCCTCCTTCCACGTGATACGTGGAAGGAGGCTGCAAAGGCTGCGGGAATTCGCCATCGGGTCTTAATCCCCCAATCCAGAGTCAGGGGATCCATAAAGAATTTTTCCCACCACCACGATTCCAATAACAACTTAACAGGGAGACTGCCTGTTTGCATGAAATAATCCTCAAAGTCAAAGTCAAAGTATATTTATTCAATATAGGCATAACTTAAGCTCTTATTGAACGTCCACAAAAAATACTACTACACCGGTTCACTAAACTAGACCTGCACAGAGAAGAACCGTCAAGAAACTCTGCGGTCTTGTTCTTTTTTTTATATTTTTTTTTGATGCAATTATACACACTTATTTAAGTATAAAATCAGCAGCAGCCAGGGGTCTTGCAAGTGCGGAGCTAGAGTCATTTCCAAACATCCTTGTCCTCAATGTATTCTTGGATATTATAGTAGGCCCTTGCCATTAAGGTAGCTTTTACAAATTGTTTGAAATTGTTTATACTTAGTTGTTTGTGGATGTCACCTATTTTATTATAATAATCTCCAATAAATATTTTTATTAAAGTGGATAAAATGCTTCGATCCTCTCGATAAAACTCGCTGATTCCAAGTGACGGGCCGTTCCAGGGTGTTCGACAAGAACAATGACGGCTTGATCTCGTCCGTGGAACTGCGCCACGTGATGACCAACTTGGGGGAGCGGCTGAGCGAGGAGGAGGTGGACGACATGATCCGAGAGGCGGACCTGGACGGTGACGGCATGGTCAACTACGACGGTGAGTGGCGCGCCATTCGAAAGCTTGCAGCACTTTGCGCTAGACTAACACGGGGTGGTACCTAACAGGAGTGGTCAAGAAGTTTAAGTTTCATCCTTGGAGACAAGGCGGATTTTAATAGTGATAGAAGTAAGCTTCGTACGCTTAAATTGGTGGAACCTTGCACTAAAGTACCTGGACCTGACAATAAGTTTACGTTCCATTGGGGGGCTACAAAAGGGAAGTATCAGCCTTAACACCAAACTTGTGGGGTTCTTAGAGTGCAACCATATTGAGGTTGGCAACGCCACCAACATCTTTTGTTACTATGTGTACGAATTATTAATTATAATTTATTCTTTCTTTCTCATGCCTAAAGTTTTTTGGCCAATAATCTGTTATGATTAACTTACGTACTGGAAGAGAATCCAAGGGGTCATATGATTTCTTAAAAAAGATAAGTGATTACCGCCGCCAATACTATCAATATTGGATGGCATGCTTGAAAAAGTACAATATTGCAAAGATATGTGAAGTCCGCCAATCCCTCTGTGCAGACGAGGCCTTTGCTCAGCAGTGGCACATGTTATATAGCTGTTATTATACTTCTTTTTAATTCGTACTATGCAAATATTTTGAATTATAATTATTAAAGTGGATAAATCTTTTCCAGAGTTCGTGACAATATTGACGTCGAAAAACTAGTATGCAGCGCAAGGGCCGAAAAGAGATCGCCCTACTCCGAGCAAGTGTCCGCACGTGGACCTGTATAAATTCGGGGGCAAAGAAACTCTTATATAGTTGTTAAAATGTATCCAGTGTGAACGGGAATTCCGTGAAACAATGTCCGATATACAAGTGCATTAAACGCGCTAACATTTACAAACAATGACTCTACGGCCGTTAATAACTAATACGCTCTGCAATATAAACGAGTGCAACAAAAAAGTGTATTCTAACAAATATTTCTGTGAATATTAAACAAAACACTGTCAAATATTCCATTGTTCTAAAAGTATCACGATATCTGCTTTGCCGCGTGTTCATTCGTTAGCGATTAGAATTTTGTATCATTATAAGCAATAAAAAAGATTACTTTTTCTCTTTTATTTGTTAGGGATTTTACTCACACTATTTCAGTTTATGGATAATTGGTATTGACTGTACTTATCGTTTTATCGATATCCAACGAAAGGACAGCAGGGTAATCTGCACATCACTATACCTTTTATTCCATCCAACTACCATGGACTTTTAAATAGAGTGCATCACTATTTCGAGCTAATTGTAAGTTTGAAAATGATGATGAGGTTTTTATTTTGAACGACACCCTTTCACAGATTATGCAATCATAGATACCTAATGTTAATAAAATTACTGTTAGTATGGTTCTACGTTACATTAAGCTTTTTGCATTCGCATAATTCTGACGTCGTTATTGGAAATGCAGATCATTAAATGAGTTTAATGGTAAATTAAAAAGGAATCGTTCCATACGTCTCTTGTCTATATCTCATGCTCAAATACTCTAACTCATAAGACTGTTAATAAATCTCACGTAGGCTACTAGTCAAATGTAAATCTACTCCACAACTTTTTCCATAATAGATACGATTCCTTTAAATAATAAAGTATACTATTTGTAACGATTTATTGTGTACTATTACGAATATACTAAACCATGAATTAAATTGTTGTAATTATGGATTTTGTGTGCCCCTTTAATGGTCGATTCTTCGTTGGCAGAACCTTCTATCAGCTTTTACTAATTATTTTTGTGGATTAAACCGTTATAATCCATGGAAACAATTTTAACACATCTCAAAAAAATTATAGCGAATGAATTGAAAGGCTTGTATGAGCTAATTTCTTATGAGAAATAAATAAATATCTTATGAGAAAGCATGAATAACATATTAACGATATAGTACCTATAACATTTTAATTGCAGTATCAAAATGAAGCATTGCAGTATCGTTTGATTTACTAAGACAAACCAATAAAAACTATTATGTCTGCCATATCATATTATATTGGTAGGTACAGACAACCTTTAAATTGTTTTTACCTTTTAATTGTACCTTTGGTAAGATGTAAAGATAAAGATCATTTTAATTTATTTATGTTTGTGATTGTTATTGGACAAGTGGTGCCATTGTGTTATTAGTGCAGTGAGATATTAGCAGAAAAGGTTTTAGATATATAGTGGGTTCATAAGGAAAAAAATAATATTATGAACTCATAATGATTTAAAGAATATATTGAAAATAATATCAAGACGGAGACGTTACGTTTAGAGGTACGTGAATTTTTTTTTAAATTAGAAAAAAATATTCAGATTTCTTTAACCAGTTATCGTTCACCTTTATCTAACCATTAGACTTTGGTTTTACGTTTTTCTATACTAAATAGAGGTACCATAACATCTTTGAATTTTTTTTTTTTGTAAATTAGAAAAAAATTGCATTTATTCAGATTTCTTTAACCAGTTATCGTTCACCTTTATCTAACCATTAGTAAAATATATTTGTCATTCCAAACGCGCACTTTTAATTCAATATGCTCTAGCAACCTGAGTTCAATTCCCGGTATAGACACCACTGAAATTGTTAATTGCAATTTAAGTGTTGGCTTATCACGTGCTCAGTGGTGAAGGAAAATATCGTGAGGAAACCTGCATATCTTCCTTATAAAATAATAAAAAATATAGAAGATATGCGAGGGTCTGGCAACCCACAGTATGTAGAGCAGTTGTGTAGAGCCCCAATACAGTAACCAATTTCAGGACCCCCTGTACAGAGGAGGTCTTAGCCCATCGTAAGGGAACGTACATATTTTGGAAATAATTAAAAAAAATATTTTTATGATATGTGAAGTCTGCCAACACGCAGTGGGGTGGACTATGTCCTCATACCCTGTATAGACGAAACCTTTGCCCAGCTGTGGAAAAAACAACATATGTAAGCTTTTATTTTATTTATACTTTACAATAAATGGTAGGGATTTTTTTTGATATCTGGGTTATTAACAAGAAAATGAAATCAAATTTAAATTAAATCAAAATTATGAATGCAAATTGTAATTTAGTTCACAGACAAGAAAGACAATAAGATATAATGAAAAATATAATTAAGTCAATTTTATATTTATCGGAATTATGATATATTTCTCGAAATTTTATAAGTTACTTATGGTCAAGCATATCACGAGCAATAAGATATAATAAAATGAGCAACTTCTTTCGAAATGGTCTTCATATACTTACATAATATTGTTGTTTAAGTAAATCTCATAAATAATTTATTAACATAATATTTTACACAAAAATATACGAGAAGATTATCAATATTTAAAATAAAAAAATCTATTTTTCTTTAAATTATAAAAACAGTTATAAGATTACCATGTAACATGCGATAAAAATTTATACTAAAGGACATTTAATTTTTTAGTTAAATTAATTTACACGTATGTACATAAATGTAATTTTTTATATTATTTCTTAAAATATTGCATCGTTTGTCTTTATTATTTATTATTAATTTTATTTTAAAATTGCTATCAATATTTAAAGAAACTTGTTGAATATTTATAAGTATTTTTTTGTATGTTTTTAAGCATACGTACGTAAATATAAGTATATTTGTTAATTGCATATTAGAAGAAATGTTATAACAGTATACCTATATCTATTACATGTATATAAAACTGTAATAATATATCTCAAACCTCTGTTATATAAATATATAAGTCGACATATATTATGTTGTGAGCTATTTATAATGGATCAAATTTGTTTTATATTTAAATAAGTATACAATATTTATTTATTTTATGACAAATATTTTACAGCGCTGTTACTATCTCAAATTGAATACAAAAGAACTATTCCAGCCCTGCGATACCGAAATTCTTTTCTTTTATAATTTCACTTGAAAATTTCTTTTTAAAAAAATGAAATCAAACAGTCATTAAAATTGTAACTTTTGTAAAAAATGTTTTTTGTTAATGTACGAAAAAAATATGCATATTTTTAAGCAAAATTTAAGCCATTACGTTGGAATTTTTGCAATGCTTGTAGTTGCTGGTCCATATTTACAAAATGTTACGTAACCATAACTTTAATTTGTATTCATAATGGGCCATGTAAATAATTTTCATCGAGTGCATCGTAAAGGGACTATCCCTTACGACAGTACAATAATTTTAAAATGAACGTATCAACCGGTTTACCACCAGAGAAAATTCGAAAAAAAAAATATAGAGAATAAAAGCATTTACTTAACCTATTTTTTTAATTCGAATTGTGTTTAAAACTTTCATTATAAGGTCAAACGACTTGCAAGAGTTTGACTTATAACATGTGTTGAATTATTAACAAAGTTGTGATTACATTAATTAATAACACTCTTACAATAATAATATTAAATGCCCTACTGTAATTCTTCTAAATTCATAACCGTGCAATGTAAAAAAATATTGCTTTTGTAAAAAGTGTCGTGATTACAGATGTACAATTAAATATCTATAGTTTTTATTTTTATAAATATAATATTATTTAATTTTTGTAAATAGAATCTATTTAATTTTAGGTTACTAAGTGCCGAATAAAAAATACCATTGTGAATTATTATTATTTTATGCGATTAACATAACATCTTGCAATGTACTTACAAAATGATTATTCTATATCCACACCTACATTTATTATCATTAAAACATGGTCATATTAGAAAAATATTTATGTATAAACTATGTAAATGCTTTAACATATACCATATTTTAGGAACAAAATTATATAAATGTTTCAACTAGTTTATTTGTTTTGTGTTCACAGCTTTGTTTTGTTACGATAAACTATTAAAAATAGCGCGGTATTCATTTAAAATTTGTATTCAATAGACTTCGCTCGTATTCGTCGTTCGAGTAGCTAGACGCATTGCGTCATAATTCAAACAGTTTTTGGAATTGAGCCAAATTCCTGGCGAGCGCTTTAATTCATAATATTTGTCTATAGTCTGTCGACAATTACAATAGCGCTTGTCGTGATCTTTAAAATTGTATTCTACTTCAAACATGTCAATTAAATGGCATGTTTACGAATGAGTACCGAAGCTTATGTTTGTACAATTAAGATTTTCTTGTGCTGACATTTTGGCACAGATAATAAATTCGTATTTAAACGTTTGTTTTGTGTGCGTCAGTGTCGAAGGGCTTTTGTATTAGCGTGTTTGTTACCTTACGTGTAATGCATTTGAAATTTGTGTGAATGCATGTTATGTAATACGCATGTTAGTGGATCGATGTAATTAGATGAGTTTACACGCTTCGTATGAGAAAAAGAAGTTTTAATAAAAAATGATTTGTGAAAAGGCACGTGTCTCATTTCTCTCAAACCTGTGATCACATGTATTTCTTACTAGGTTAGTTGGCAGAGAATTCATGCATTGGGTTAAGCTTATGTTTTGTACATTACTTAAATTATTTTTTATATCTTACGTTTTGTATACAATAAATATATAAATAAATAAATGATCTTACTGATTTCTTTTGATTATGATAAATGATTATATTATACATATTAAATGAAACTAGTTTACGGATTTTATCGCGATTTAAAATTAAAACTAGTTTCATTTAATATGTATGATTTACTTAATCAAATTAAGGCGAAAGACAAGACAAGAAATTTAAGAGCGTAT